AAAAAAAAAAAAAAAAAAAATGTAAACTACAATAATCTATCCACTCTTTAAACTGCACGATGACTGCATACAAAAATTACAACACCTCAAATAACAAGATGACACAGCAAGAAAAGCAACGCAAAAAAATTTAAAAATAAAAAAGACCAGACAATAGGAAATAACCCACCAGATCTTTACAGCATCAATACAGACAATGACACCCTAAATAAAGCCCGACAATAGAAACGCCGACGTAGAATAAAATCAGAAAAGATATTAATAGTGGGTGAGGTTTCGAGTATATGGACAGCCTTTCCCAGATAATAAAAGAGATAGAGTAATATAACATTAGCCTCTCGCTAGTAAGACAAGTATATTATAAGCACTCCAAGAAGAATAAGCCGACATAACTAACAGCTGCATTATGGAAACCACATAATTATTGCCGAACAGGCCCCTGGTTCTGGTTTCAACATAAAGCTGACTCACTTGTGGATAGAGGTCACAAGTTCCCAATTCCTTGACAGCCAAAGGCAACCTTTCTCCATCAGTAACCTGAGAGATGAAGAAAACATGCATTTAACTAAACAATATTGAGCAGTGAAAAGAATCACGTGAGCAACATTAAAAGCCAGGATCATCTCATACCTCATAATCCGCCCCCACACTCTTGATGTTGACTGTTTGAACTTCATTGTGCTTAGCCCATATAATTTTTCCACTGTTATCCATGCTGGCAACTGGTTCTTCTCGACCAATTTTTACCATGATAGTTCCCTCATCATAACCGATTACAACCCTGCACATGCATCAAGTCAACATAACTGCTAGATGAATAAATGCAATACAGAGCATGTGATGAAATGATAATCAGCTCCTTGCTCTTTAGTTTCAGGTTTTTTCTATTTGTTATGCCCGCAGGTCTACAAATAAGTGATTTCCTTCTTTCTTCATCCATAAAAACTTTTCTTGCTTGGAAATGAAAACAGAAATAATTAAAATGCAAAGTATAATTGAAAGGAATTGCAAGACTGGCCAAAGAGAATAAAGGTACAGCTACGAACTTATCATAGAAACTAACCTTCTTGAACTTCTCATGTAACCAATTGCCCAAACTCTTTCAAGACCGTAATTCAAAGTGTTCTCAAGTCTGCATACAAAATGCAACAAAAACAAACAGAAATTAGGATCAATAACCATATTTTACCAGAAAAAGTAACCAAAATGCCCAAAAGTAACCATCGTACAAAGCTTTCCAGTGGAAGCAACCAATTTTTTTGGGGGGGGGGTTAAGTTACAGAAGTTTTATCTTATTGAACGGCAAATTACAGAATTTCATTAGTTCTTGCGCATCAAAAAGAAAAAGAAAACTGATAAAAGCCACACCAGATATAGAGTACATTAATGATGTTTGATTTTTTTTTTTTGTATACTCCTTGTATATGGCCGTTATTTTTACCCAAACATATCAATAAAATCCTATTACTTTATCAAGAAAAATGACAGACTCGGAGTCACTTTATATGTTGTTACTGTAAATCAATTTAAAATTTCTCATAGCTTTCCGGAGACCTGGTTGCACTGATTTAGATGACCCCAACCAACTTGAAAGAAGATATCTTTGAACATATTGGCTAAAATGTCTTTGGGTACATGACTATCTATATCAAACTTTAAAGAAACCAAAACAATTGGACAATTTATTGAGATGTAGAAACTTCTGTCAAAAAATGAAAAGGTCCAATCTCATATGAAATCAATAGAATTTGAATTAATCCATAGTAATAAAGTAGTTATGAGTCTAAATCTACCTATAAGTGGTTGCATGCCATATACGAACTGTACCATCTTCAGATCCCGTAATTATAATAGGAAGCTCAGGATGAAAACATACGGCGGACACATTGTGTGTATGGCCTTCAAGAGTCTGGACACAACTTTTTGTCTGATAGTCCCACACCTGTCTCGTGGATTACATGACAACTAATTCAGATTCTCTGTGTCTAAACTAACAACAGAACATGGGAAAGGAATTGATCGGCAAACCTTAGCAGTGTGGTCATCAGAACCCGTTATCAGATAAGGTTTATCACCACCAGTGAAATAGTCTACACAATTAACCCCTTTCAGATGCGCATCCAACGTGAAGTTTGGGTCAGGGGAGCCGAGGTTCCAAATCTGAAAAACCAAGCGTCATTAATTCAAATATTTCAGATTGGTAAATGGAAAAAAATAACGTTGTGAACAAGGTAATCTCAGGAGGTGAAGAAGAGTGAAGAAGAAAAGGAAGAAATCCTTACCTTTATAGTCCGATCAAGAGATGCACTGGCAAATGTATTGGTGTCTTTCGGATTAAATGTGACTTGCATCACATAATGGGAATGACCCTCAAAAATTTGAGTGCATACCCATCCCTTATCCCAGTCCCAGAGCTTTATAAGCATGTCATCAGAAGATGACAGCACATATGGTAGAGTAGGGTGAACAGCCACAGACCTAATATAATCAGTGTGCGCCTCAAAGACTTTGACCTTGTCCATGGTATTGTAATTGTATACACGAATAAACATATCGTCAGCACCAGCAACAACCCACTGCTTGCGTGCTATAAACTTTGCTGACCTAACTGCAAAGAATGAACAATGAGTTTAAAAGAACTGCAAAACCTTCGTTAAAGCAACAGAGTGCTAGTTCACATCCTGACCAAACAAATATACTACTCAGACCCCGTCGGCATACCTGGTAATTCAGTAACTTCGAAAGATTTAACCATTGTCTGCAACAATCAAAATGAATTAGCACTCTATTGATAATACTATTACCATGAAGTTTTGCTTTGTAAGTGAAATATTAGCTCAATAACTTCTCATACCGAGTAAGCTAAGAAGTCAGATTTGCACATAAGTGAAGAAGATTTAAGTCTAACATGATTCATCAATGGAGCAGTAATTCCTAAAGTGATTCACCAATCCTGAACACTTCAATGTGCTCCTAATATAGAACGTTACAGTAGGAAAGATTTACTAGGGACAGTGGAGCAGTAATTCCTAAAGTGATTCACCAATCCTGAACACTTCAATGTGCTCCTAATATAGAACGTTACAGTAGGAAAGATTTACTAGGGACAGTGGAGCAGTAATTCCTAAAGTGATTCACCAATCCTGAACACTTCAATGTCCTCCTAATTAGGGACAGTGGAATGCAGTAATTCTACTAAAGAAACTTGCAAAGTCCCACCTCACGGCTAAAACAGATGTAATTGCAACGAAGATTGGGAAGATAAAGTAGGAGAAAGCAACGATATATGGAACATAAGACCCTCCAATATAGAAAATGACTTGAGTTCAATAGCTTTTCAGCTCAATAATCTTGAATTTTCATTTATCCAAAAAAAGCATTATATTGGCTTAAGATTTTAGATCTTTTTATTTTTATTTTTATTTTGCATAATATTGGTCTAAGATGAGCTTAAATAAAGTACATGGTCAGTGTGGATTCATTAGCCGACCCCGACTTGCTCGGGATTGAGGCGATATTATTTGTGGTTGTATCTTGAAATTTTAGATAAACAAATGTCAGCAGTAGTACATTGCTGAAAGAACGCATATGTATTCTCTCATAGGATTGCACTCATAGAAAATTTTCCCCAACTAAGTTTACAAATAAATAATTTCAGGCATTTGTTGACGAATTGAGACCGGCACAATAATCAAAAATCAACTCGAGCTTATTCATCTTAAGTGTGGGAGAAACTAAGCTACACCCAGACCAGCTCTTTACTAGCTCTCAATTTTGTTCAGAATGCTCTATGAGCATTGGCTCAAGATCATAAGATGTAATCACCGTCATCCATTTCAAATATGCACTTCACTATCTCAGGATGTCACACATTTAGGACACTCTTTTATAAATGAGAACACCGCGTACATCTTTCAAGATTTCGGAATCCAAATCCCCCCCCCCCCC